GCGGTCGCGTAAGCGGCGGACGGGCAGCGGCGCGCCTCGCCTCCCTACTCCTCGCCCCGCACCGCCATTCTATTCCTCGCCGAACACCGCCTCGAGCGGGGCCGCTAGGCCGGTCACCTCACCGCGCGCTTACATTCGCCAGTAGGTTGGGCTAATACGGCGATTTTTAAAATTTCGTATCTCGATAACTATTCGTCCAAGCGCAAAATAGTACAATACTTTTCTGTTTGTCTTAGTCCCCTCTACCTTCCCATGACCGGACGTCAAAGTCTTGCGTAGCACCCTGTATTACTACTTGTTCAGTCTAAACATGCTTTAAATTAGAGGTAATGGAATGTAACTGTGCAATATGTACGAGTATTCAATGGACTATATAATATGTAAGTATATTACATGTATGTACATATGTATGTGTTATATAAATGCGTCAAATATTATCTATACAGGGTGGGTCATTTTAATCCGTCCACTCAAATATCTCAAAACGTATAAGTTCCAAAAGAAAACTTTTCAGACAAAAGTTGTATGGTTCCGAGGGGGATATAAGACGGTGTCATTAATTTGAACTTGAATAATTGCTTGAAGGTCACGTGAAGGCCACCTTCAAGTTTTTACATGGAACTCCCTATTGTTTATTATACTGTGTTATTCTATTAATTAATATAAACAACTTTTGTCCTAAACATTTTTTATTTGCCTAATATAATACTTTTTGAGGTATTCAAGAGAAAATTGGTAACTTTTTCAATATTTAGCTTATGTTATCACAATAACTGTTTGTCAGAGAGAGAATTAGTAAAGGATTTTTTTTATTTAGTCTCAGGAATATGCTGTTGCAATTGTGCTCCAATTAGTGAAAATTTTGGTGTACGTAAATTTTACGTCTGTCACAATACACACAAATGATATATACATATTATTATAAGTATTATTATATTTAATTGTTAACTGAAATGTTTTTGTAATACAACATTTTGACTATTTTCGTATTTCTTCAGGCGGCAGTTAAGATAGTCGTGAAATCCAAAGAGGATCAGATAGAGTGGAGGCTGGCCGTGTACCGCGATTCGTGCTATCTGACAGTTCGGAGACGCACTACGTGTAGTGTGTCACCGTGCAGCTTATATATCACTTTTTAACATTAATTCTCGAGTGTACGCGATGGCCGCGTGCGTTAGACGTCGGACCGTCATCCGCGCGAGCCGGGTTCAATTCCCGGCGAGCAGGATTTTTTTTCTCGATATATTATTGAAGAGTGGGGGGATTTAGGATGGCCTCTGAACTGGTAGATGGCTCTGAAATTCGGTCACGCTATTTAACATTGTGCTCTTATGGCAGCTTCCACTCTATCTGATCCTCTTTGGTGAAATCAAAATTACTTAGTACTGGCGACGAATCTATCCAATTAGTAGACTCAATGCTTGGCATGAAAGATTCGGTCAGTACTGATTGTGAGTAATAACTGGATTCTAAAACGGTATGTGAAGAGATAAATAAAGGAACGTTCAAAAACGTCGAATTTTGCGAAGATGACTATTTTATTATCAAAAAGGGTGTTAGAGCGAGTAGTTCGATAATAAGAGATCGAGTGATGAGGGCGCTGTCCGCGGGAGGAGGAGAGACATGATGTAACGGTCTAAGAGGAAAGAGAGAACTAAAAGAGAACTTGTCGTATTATTTGAAAGAGTTGACCCAAGAACCAGCCAGTTTTCGGAAGAACTGAAAGTAAGATACAAAACAACAACAACATTAAATCTGGTCCTTCGAGCACGAATTCAGCCGGTAAAAGGCTGAAGCAACGAAAAGCGAAGCCTCGGCGCGGAACGAGCCACGTGGAGGTTAAGAAGCAAAAAGAAATTTCCGGAATGGCACGTCCAGCAA